AGACTTAAACATCCAACTCAATTTTGAACGAGTGAATGCGCTGGTCACTCATTTATATCACTCACTCACACTTTGGGACAGGGACTAGACAGGTCAGTTTCACCTGCCGATTGTGTGCTCCCCCATCATTCTGTCTGTGTGCACCTGTTGTCTCTTGTCTTATGCTTGGACAGTCACCTCTTTGGAGCAGGGACGGTCTTTTTATTCTGTGTATGTACAGCGCCTAGCACCATGGGGGCCATAACTGGAGCTCCTAGGCAATGCCATGATATAAACAGCCAGAGGATGAGGTATGAGCACAGAACTGTAGCAGGATTAGAGATGGAAAAGGCTTCCTCAGCCACCGGCTCCACTCCCCCTTGGCCAAGCTAGTCTAGTCTTCAGTGTTTTGGCCAGTCTAGCTGTAATGCCCCATGCGATGGGGCAAAGCACTGCTCTGTGCTGTCGAAAGCTACACCCGCTCCGAGGCCCTCTCATCCCCCCTCGGTCCCTCCTATTCTTTGCCTGGGGCACAGAACAGCATAGTCCCCTGTGGGCTGGAATAATTTGGTCTCATTTCAGTTGTAGGATTTGTGTGAGGGTGCTGTTGGCAATGTGTGATATACTGGAGGTCAGGCTATAAGATCCCTTCTGGCCTTAATCTCTCTGACCACCATCAGGTTCTCTCTCATACACAGATCTTATTACACAGAAGCCAGGTCTGTGATACTGTATGGGTTTTATCCTGTCACCCGTCACTGTAGTTTCTGGGCAGCTTCCACATAAAATCGGGAGCAATAGAGAAGTCCCCAGTGAATTTCATGGGGTCTCTGGTGCATCTCCCTCTGCTTGGTGTAGATTTGGGGGTTTTAAGATTTTATTCATTTCCTCTTTTATTACTGTTGTTGGCAGGGGTATATTGGGTAGAAGGGGGTGTCAGGCTTGGGGGCGTCATGAGGGAAGGTTTTTTGGTAGCAATGCTCAGCCTTCTAACCCCCCTTTCCAATCCCCAGTCAAACCACCTTGCTGGGAGCCAGGCAAGTTGTGACAAAGTGAGACTGTTCTTAATGTTTCCTCTGAATACTGTAGGGGTGCCTCAGTTTCCCCTATGCATTTCTTAAGTCTCTAGTTGGTGGGATAAAGGCCAGTGTGCATAAATGGCCGACACTCTGTCTCCTGGCAACTAATGGCCAGAGCCCTTCCCCCCTGCAAGGAGATGCTAAAGGTGTTCAAGAACAAAGAGATCAGGTGACCTCCTCGCCCGGGAAAGAGACAAAGGCCAGAGAGGAGGGGCTGGAGGGTTTCAGTTTGGAGCTGGCTGGGGACAGGGAGTGAGGGCAGACGGGGTTGTCTGGCTCGCTGCCCCCCCCCACCCCCAAATGGACCCGGCTGAGGGGTCCTGTTCTCTGTACCTACAAGCTCTGTTTTAGACCGTGTTCCTGTCATCTAATAAACCTCTGTTACTGGCTGGCTAAGAGTCGCGTCTGACTGCGAAGTGGGGGTGCAGGACCCTGTGGCTTCCCCAGGACCCCGCCTGGGCGGACTCGCTGTGGGAAGCGCACGGAGGGGCAGATGCTGAATGCTCCAAAGTCAAACCCAGGAAGGTGAAGCCGTGTGAGCTTCTTGCCCTGAAGACAGTCTGCTCCGAGGGAGAGGAGGCTCCCCAGAGTCCTGACTGGCTTCCAGAGCATCGCCCAGCGACTCCGTGACACACGTCTACACCAGTTCTCAGTACTGCCTCTTCCGCTAGTCCAAAGGATTAGCCTAACCCTGGTGCCTGCATTGCCCAGGTGGGCTTAGTAATGGCACGATGCTCACCAAGTCACTCTCCTCAATAACCTCGCCAGTGGCACCGGAGGTACCAAGCAGCAGGGCCTGGCTCCAGAACTGTCTGTCGGCTGTGTTACCAGTCCCATAGACAATGAGGCTGTTTCCAGCGTATGGGTGGCATCTGAACCCGCACCTCTCACATCCGAACCTAAGTTCAGTGGCAATAATAATAATAATGTCCCGATTGCATCCCAAGACACGTCTACATGGATGTAAAAGTCACACAATGAATGCTTATGCAATGAACAAATTCCCATTTGGTCAATTCCATTGCACCTTCTTCAATTCCCTCCTGGATACAGGATTCTTCTTCAGTCCCTGTTCTAAACAGTTCCATGATGTTGCTGTGTGCTATTAAACCGTCACTGCATTTCCATGCCAGAGGTGGCTGCATTTCCATGGCGGATAGTCAGATACACGTCAGCCTTACAAAATTCTAATCACCTGTATAACTTCAGAAATATTTTTAGCAGGTGCGTAAAATATCGTTTGTTTTTTCATGATCAGCTTTGTGGCAAAGGACACGTGGGAGATTTTGCAAGGCTGATTATACACCTGCACGCATATATATGGAAAGCACCTTGAGAACCCGTAAGACGCCAGCTACCAGAGAAAGGCAAGTCTTAGTAGCAGTTTCCAAGGTGCTTGGGAGACAGCAGTTCCCCGGTTTAAAACACTTCCTGGGTTTGAATTTCACACCAACTGGGCTCCTGCCACAGATATTTGAGGGAACCAGACTCATAGCACCCCTCACCTGGGTCTTGGGCCCCATCTCCTACGCTCGCCCCTCCCCTCGCAGAACTCCATCCCCCAGCCCATCTGGGAGCCCCCTACACCCACCTGCCACTGCCCCCCTCTGGGGGGAGATGCTTAAACTCCTCCTGACCCTCCCTCTTGGGATCCCTCCCACTCACCTGCCGCACTGTGAACATCCCCTTCCCCTTGGGACTGCGGCTGTGTAGCTGAGCCTGCCTCTGGGCTGGGCCTGGAACCCTCCCCTCCCCCTCCCCGGGCAACCCCTCCCCCTCCCCCTCCCCCAGAGAATCGTCCCTGGAAACCCCCGGGGAACCCTAACCCTCCCCTTGCCCCCCCCCCGGGAACCCCTCCCCTGGGACCCTCCCATTCTCCCTTCTGTG